TCATTAATGTCAAGATGCAATATCACTGTACCTTTTGAGGCCTGTCTTATATACTTTTCTCCCTTGAATCCTGTCTCACAGGTGTAAACGGCTTTGCTGTCCCAGTCTGTGTTCTTGACTTTCAGGACACTGACCGCTGAATATAACCCTCCAGTTTTTTGGGTGGGACTTTGAATGTAGTTGTTCAAATCTGCGTCATTCTTTTTCCATTTAAATGGTTCAAATGCTCCACTGTGACTGTCCTCAATTGTGCAGACCAGGGCCTGAGTGTCTTCATTTGGCACCGATAGCAAAGTAATTTTTGCTGGAGGAAACTCTGAATAGGTGGAGGAAACAGCAGAGTTACAGTCATTCAATATTATATTAATATGAATATTAATATTTCATGTGCAAGTGATAAGATATTTGGCTCAAAGGAAAAATATATGCATCAGACAGACAAAGGAAATGTCACAAATGTGAAGGAATAAATATTGCTGAACATTTGTAGATTAGACCAAGATGAATGGGGATGGTAAGCTGACCCATCACACAGTATAATGAAATTAGAGAGACATCTTATTAAAAGTTAAAATTACGTACTTGGCACTTGCAGGGTTTTTACAGATCCACCATGAGTTACTGAACATTTAAAAGACTTCCTTGAATCGTAGTCAGATTTTGATACTTGGATCAAACTGGCTGCTGTATATTTGTTGTTTTTCTCAGCAGGAGGATATTGTATTGAAGTCAGGACGGCCCCACTGGCATCAGTCCACTGGAAATTAAGATTCTTTGGGGAGAAGTTGTATGCAAGACAACCAACAGCGATTTTATCTCCAGACCCAGATTTGCACTGAATCAAAGGGAACACAGTCGGTGGCACAGCTGACTCTGTAAAAGAGTTTTAAAAGTTTGAATTCAGGTAAATCAAGAAACACAGATAATGAATTACTCATCAGAAAAGTTGATCACAGATATAATAATAATGGTTGAATCTTTCAACCTTAGAATTAAATAACTCCCAAAGTGTTCAATGTTAAATACATAAATTACAGTTTCACATTGTTAGACATTATGGCATATAATGTAACTTTGAAATATTCAAACAGATTTTTAAAACTTAGTTGGTATTATTAATTGTTATTTCATATTTTTATTTTATACTGTTTGGATTATTTTGCAATACTGAACACATTGCACAAAGTGAAACATGAATTGTTCTTAACCATTTTGTAGGAGCAGTGGCAGGTTTTCCTTAATAATCATATATAACACGGAATAAATAAATATTGTTAAAATAATGACAAACCAAAATTATCAGCAGGTTAATATGTGACTGTCTATTTACACAATGAACTTGAAGAAAGATGCCATCATCATTTAAAAAGTAACAGTAAAGTATTGTCTTATTGATTCGTTTTATTTGTCTGTTCAGCTCACGGATAAAGAGACTGAATCTGAATACATTTATACAACAGCACCACAATTTTCCACACCAAAAACTTCTATTTAACCAAGATGTTAATATAATAAGTCCATAAATTTATTTTCTTACCACACTATATTAAATTTAATTAACATTTTGTTATTCTTTTTGTTTTTCAATAAACTTATATACCAAAACAGTCAAATGCCTGATGGAAAGAATTACAAATCAGAACAAGTAAAGCGAAACTTTAAATTTAAAACTATCAATTTGACCTTTTGTGCAAATTCATATTTGATCGTTTGAAGGTCAGTGTGTTTTGTTTTGTTTTTTTAGATAAATTTTATATTTGAATTGTTTACTTGTTAATTTCTTTGTACAGTGTTCAGTTGTTTGAAACACATGTATTTAAAGCAAGTATCCCACGTTTATGGTAACACCTTGTAAAAATAATCCAGGTAGAGTATGTTGCATAATTATAATCGACAGTAAGAGAAAAAAATCATTGAATAAATGCATGAATAAAAAGATGCAGATATTCATCAGTAACAATCACAATCCAGTTGAATAAAATGTAAGAGCAAATCATTAAGTGATAATGCCAAAGAAGAATTTTTCAAAATGCTTTCTACAAAATAGCTGCATCATAAACATCTTGACGGCTCAGTTTTATCTGCTCTGTCTGATCAGTACAAACTTAAACAAGATCATGACCTAAACTCCTCTAATGTCAATAATCACATTTTTAAATAAAAATAAACTGATCACTGAAAATTCTGTGTTTAAATGTGGCTTACCTGTTGTTACTGTGACATCAGTCCCTTTACCCCAGTAGTCGAAATAATCACAGTGCTGCATCTCCATTCACTGCTTGAACAAAAACCTGTAGCACCAGAAAAACTTTAAAAACCTTAAGTAAATGTCTGAAATGCATAGAAATCCTGGTACATGTGATACACTGGTGTCAACCTGTGAGCATGTCTTTTGTGTTGATTCTTAATCAGTTCTTAAAAAGAACATTTGCCATATATAACATTTACACCTGTGCACTAACTGTGACTATAAACTATGAATTAACCTAATTTTAACTATCAATCTGCTCATTAAAAATGATAAACATGGTAGTTACCTCATATACCAATAAGATGTATTTTGTCCTGTCCTTTTTTTTCATCAGATTAATAGATGAGTGTAAGATTTTTACTCTTAGGTTTTTGTATGGGTGTATATCTCAGTGCCCAAGTACCCATCACAGTGAAAAACCCTAATACAAAAATAGTTTTCTGCTCTGGAGAGTAAGGGGGGGGGCTATATTGTCAACAGTGGATAAGAACAAAACAAAACTGAAATTCTAATCAACAAACCTACATATGTAACAATATATATAATAAAAATATCTCAGATTTTCAGTGTTTTTTTTAAAAGCAATCATTCATTCATTCACTTTATGCTTTATTGATTATAAAAATTAATGTATGAAATATTAATGTACTTATATCCTCACAGTCATGTTTCTATTTTTATTTGATGACTCATATAATACAATTTCTCTGTTAAACACTTTGGTCAACATTTGTTGTTTTTAAATGTGTTCTATAAATAAATTGACTTGACGTGACTTATTAATTAAGACGACAATATTGGATAAAACTACGATATCGTAATCTGCTGTATTATCTTAAAAATCTTAATTGGTTTTTAGATTTAAAATAAATGTAGTGTTTTGTAGACATCTATGTATGCTGATCATCTGTTTTACAGCTACAGAAAATTTGGAAATTGACAAATGCTGGTAGATCATGCATTTGCAGTTGCACATCATCACTTGCAAGAGAAGGGACATTTTCCATCATCTATTTCCAAGTGGAAACTTGGAATATTTTTTGGCAGGAAGTACAGTATCAGCCTGTAGCAGCATTAAACTCAGTTTTAAGGTTATTTCTGCATCCAGTCTCTAGTTTTTGTCTCTTTACTGAAGTACAACCTTGCCCACATCTACTGGTGGTGAAAACTTATGTTTTTTAATTTTCTTTTTTAGCAGTGATTCATTGCCACCATAATCCAACAGCACTGGTGTAAGAACAAGAAGGAACATGAATACTATACAAATATATATTATATGTAACAATATCTACCCAAATATACCACAGTGCATTTGCAAAATGCAAGTAATGAGAAATGAATATAAAATAATAGTTTACATTTTTTAAACTAATCTCCAACAGTGTGAAATTTGAAGCTGTTTATCACAGACAAAGCTTCACAGTGTAATGGAAAAAGAATGTAGTGAAAAAATGTTTGTGAATTTACCCCATAAGTTTGTGTTTCCTTTGCTGTGCGCATGGATACATGCTGATATGCAAATCTATACACTGACACTGTTTGCTTCGAGGAAGTTTATTTTTAGTTCTGATGGTTTCACTGCTGCAGCTGTGTTGAAGTGGTTTTCTTTCCAGTAATCTTAGATCTATGTGTTGTGACTCAAATAAAAACAAAAACCTCAAAAGCTGTTTATGTTCATCACCAGCACACTATCACTCATATTCATACTCCCATAAGTTTCTTATGTGGCTGTCTAAATCTTAACTATTGTATATATTAAGTATCATGTCTATTGATTTACTGAGGAAAACAAATATTATCAACAAAATGACCAAAGATGAAAAGCAAAGATTTATTTAGTCAAACTATGAAATGCAAAGCCATGTACAGAAAACATCTCTTTCTGCTACAGTACTACAATTTGTTCTTTCCATAACAAGAAAAGTTGATACTAAGTTCACTAAAACATATTAGAGACGTGTTCAAGCAACATAATAAATAACATCTGTGATCATAATGTATCATAAGGACCCAATGAAGGAAAATGTATTTATGTAAGTAATTAAGAATTGTAGTTGTACTTTAATTTAATTTAAGGTTATACAGAAATCAATGTTCAATGACTTAGTTCATCATTATATATGGTGACAATTTAATTTAGCAAGTTGTCTGTGCTGTGTATCAGTCTGATCCTTTATCCTCTCTCCATCTGAAAAAAAAACATCAAATCAGTTTAAAAATTTACATTCACTTGTCAAATACAGGTTATTGAACTGTTTCACTCAGCTGGAGAATGGACACCCAAATGATCTTTGTGTCCTCAGTGTTGGACTGAATGATTGATTCAATTTAGCGACATTCTTTAGGAACTTGGATAAAACGATTTATCCTCAGACACTGAGACACGGTAACTTGCTGTAAGTTGGTTACTTCAAGATAATATCTGTGATGTTCTTAGTGACATGTCATTATGCGCCATGAAGCATTTAAAACACACAGAGAACATTTTCTGTGGCTGGAGATGCTCTTCATTCTGCTGCTGCTTTAAGTCACACTTGTGCTGGTTGGCTGTACCAATAAACTCACTGAAGTTCAAAACACCCGAAAGTCATTAATTTCACATTACTTTATTATGTAATTGCATTGATCAAAATCAACACAATAAACCTGTAACATCACTTTGTTTTTGATTAAACACAAGGTTTGTTATATCCATATAGAGCTATTTCCTTGACAGAAATAATGATTTGGTGGCAAATTAACTTTTCTCATACTGGTGATAATAAATTGCATATTTGAGTTTTCTTGTCTTAGTACCTGTCTCTTCTGTCTAACTTTATTAAGCTAAATGGATACATTCATTTGCATTACCAGGGTCTCCCTTTTCAGGAAGATGCATTGCACTCTTGATATTATACAAAGTGGAAATCAATATGGGTGAAATGCAAAAAAAGCTGTCATGTTTACCTTGACCAGGCTGAATATTATGTTATAGAAGAGAGATGATATGAAGAGAAATATGAAGGAGGAGGTTGTGGACCACAGACTGCTGAACTCATCTTCTTCACTGGCATCGTCTGTGCAGCTCAGAGGAAAATTCAGATTTGACTCTAAGGGAATATTTGTGTATAATGTATAATGTATGGGGAGTTAGATGTTGTGTGCGTTTGTGTGTGTGTGTGTGTGGGGGGGGGTTTAAACTTTCACACTGACATCTGCAGTGGTATTTGTACAGCGCTGTGGCTTCCTTTGTCATTGTGGCTGTCGAGCAAAATAATAAACATTAAAGATCATGATCACTATCCATCAAACTTGTGATAATTACAAAATAAGCAGACATTAGCACTTTCTTTTTTTAAAGTTATTTTTTGGGCTTTTTGTGCCTTTAATGGACAGGACAGTAGAGAGACAGGAAATGGGGAGGCAGAGAGAGGGGGAACGATACGCAGGATGCGGGAGTCAAACCGGGGGCCAGCTGCAGCGAGGACTGTTGCCTCTATATATGGGGTGCCTGCTTAACCCACTGCGCTATGCGACGCCCCCATTAGCACTTTCTCAACATGAAGAGTAATTATAACAAATAAACTCAACAAAATGTTTTTGGTTCAGTGCCCTCTGATTGGTGTCACAGAGATGTATAAAACTGTCTCAGCATTCTTAAACAAATGATATGAAACTCTCTGGTGGTGATATTATAAGAAGGAAAAGTTTGTACAGATCTCCCTCTACAGGTTTAAAAAGGGAATGTATGTAATACCGATATATAGAAAAGATGTAGAAAATGATTTACGGACACAGTGTGATGAATCAAATCTCTCTGCAGATTGCAGTTACAATTATCAGTTTGATCTCACTCCAAAGTTTTGTAACCAAAAGAGATCATGATCACTATCCATCAAACTTGTGACATTTACAAAATTATATTCAGTTCAATTCTTCAGTGTTTGACTTTATTTTCTTACCCTGAAAAGTAATTATAACAAGTCCTGGCAAATAATTTGTGGACTATTGGAGAATGGGAAAAAATTAAGCAGTGCATCGCACAAATAAATGAATAATAATGTGTTGCTCACTCATAATTAGTGAAAATCAACTTTCTCTAAAATCTCTTATTCAGATGTCAGCTGAAGTAGAAGTCAGATTAAAACCATATTAAAATTCTTAACTTCAGCCACAGGAGTCTCTGGGTATTTGTGCAGGTCTGTTGGTTGTTTGTATCACTGTGGAGCCAACTATACCACTGTGCACGTACACAGTAATACACAGCTGTGTCGTCAGGCTCCAGATTCTGTCCTGTAAGTTTCACAGAACTTGTAGAAGTGAGTGTGTAGTAAAGGAACTTGTTCTTCAGAGCATCATTTTGATAAAAGCTGCCTCCACCCCAACGATGCATAATCCACTCCATTGGTTTTCCTTCACGCTGTCTGATCCATCCTGTTGCATAGCTGCTATCAGTCAGAGAATAACCAGAGACCTGACAGAGGATGGTCAAAGACTGTCCAGGCTGCACAACCACTGAGTCTGGCTGGATGAGATCAATACTGTACACACCTGTGGAAACAGAAATCAACATTATCTCCATCATTCATCTGACTATTCAGTGTTTCTAATGTGTTTATTAGTGTGAATCCACTGAAAGCTCCTCACAGGATCCAGCTGCCAGCAGCTGTATCAGAACCACAGAGAACATGGTTGATGTTGAAGCTGAACTGATGTGAGCTCTTCTGTCCTCTCACTGACACACACACACACTTCACTTCCTTATGAGGAACCATTATTTGCATATTGTTGAATAATGAATTTACATCCCACATAAAATCTGTTTAAATACAGGTGAAATGTTTAGCTGTTTCCACTCTAGTTGCCTGACGGAAGTAATAGATTTCATTGTTTATTGAGAAACTTGTATTATTTATTGTTATATATTATAATATATATATATATATATAATAATTTGTATATATGATTATATATATTAATATTATTATTATTATTATTATGTGTTTTTCTTTAAGTAAGTTATGTTCAAGTTGAAACATACATATTAATGTTGCTAAAAATCTATATCTAGTGGACAATATTGTATACATACAGTACATATATATATATATGTATGTATAAAGTATTATTATCCTGGCAGTTTTGTGAGGAAAGGATCATTACAGCCAGATATTGTTTTTTCGTGGTTGTTAAAGCCCAGAGAAGACAAACACTATAGGATTTTGTACAGCTGTTTAACCAACTCCAGTCACTGTGGCTCTCGAGCACAGTAATAAACCGCAGAATCTTCAGTCTTCAGGTTGTTCATCTGCAGATACACCTGGTCCACGTTGTTGTCTCTGGAAATGGTAAAGCGATTCTGGACAGATGTGGAATAATATTTATTGCTTCCACTCGGAGCAGAAATGTGTGCAACCCACTCCAGTCCTTTTCCTTCAGCTTGTCTGATCCAGCTGATATAAGCATTGTCATCTGATATTCCTGCATATGTGCAGCTCAGTTTGTGGGATTCTCCAGGCCGCTTCACCACTGGTGCAGACTCAGTCAGAGTCTGACTGCAAACACCTGAGGAGAAAAGCAGTTTGATCAGAACAGAGATAAACATCGACATTGCCTTCAAAAAAGAAAAGAGCAGAATGTGGAATTCACCAGAAAGTGCTGATAACAGCAGGAATGTTACAGATGTAGTCACAGTCATAATGGACATTTGTGGAATATCTGGTTGGTGGTTTGGTTTGTTTTCTGTTTGCTGGGAAATAAATACAGATGGAGGTGATCATGATTTGCATTGACTCCTCCTCACAGTGCAGGAAAAATATTTATCAGCTAAAGAGATATCAGCTTAGATAAATATTTTTGTTGATTATAATAAAATATTAATTTCATGTTTTTTCTGCTGAATAATTGCTCATCATGTGCTTTTTAATTGATGTTTCAGGGCTGTTTGGACAAGACACACAAAATAAATGGAACTGGGTGGATCCAGCATTTGGTGCCTGGTTCCAAACATACAGCTTGTTAAAAATAAAACACAATAAGACAATATAAGCAACTTAAAATCTATTGCTTGTATGGATTAATGTTATACAGCACAATTAGTGTATTGTGGGACATTTTTTTAGCCATTTTATGGTCAGACGTGAGGAACTAATTTGGTAATAGAGTAGTTTTAGGATTCCACCTATCTTCTGAATTTTCCATGGTAGCAGTGTGCAGCTTTTCTTCATGCACAATGAACAAAACAGGGCAAATATGTGTCAAGACAAACAAATAGTATAAGCATGTGAAAAGTTACAATAACCATTTTATCTAAATTGCACACATGTTGACAGGCTGCGGATACCATCACAGACACTTGCAGAATGGATGAAAATATTAAATGGAAATAAGTGTGTTAGTGATTTCCTCATGGCCATTATGTTCATGTGTGTTCAATGAAAGGCCATTACTTTGATCAGCGTTAAAAACACAGTCAGTCCTTGTCTGCCCTCTAGAGTTTTAAAATCGGCACTGCAGATATTTTTTGATTGCAAAATAATGTGTTACATAATGTAATGTAACTCACTCTGCTCTGTGATACACTCTTAAGCTGTTCAAGAGATTTCCCCTGCCTTTACTGGGATATACTTGAGCACTAGGTGGACTGTGGACTGATGAAGAGTTTGGAAAGCATGGTGCAGAATAAAGGATGGATGGGTGGGTGGTTTGTAGTGCTGTCACACAATGTGGATACTGTAGTCTGGTCTCCTTGAGTAGAAAAGAGACAGGATGACGTTGTCATGCAGTTAAAATTTATGGAAACAAGTACATTTTAATTTGTGTCACTGTAAACATGCAAAAAAAACAAAACATTGAATTACTTGTTACTTTGGTACATCTCTTTACCTATTGCAATGAAACACAATAACCCTGCAACTGATCCTGCTCGTTTAAAGCTGTTAATGATTGATGGAGATTTAGCTGGACACTTAAACTTCCACGTATTAAGGCCTCCAGTTCAAGAAGTGTCTGGGTTTCTGATTTTTTTTTCCAATATTGCAATTATTTCATAAGATGGCAGGACACAGGACTGCACAACTGTTTAAAAGCACAGTTTGGTCATTTGAGGTACACAAATTGTATCCTATTTTGCCACATTGCACATGTACAGGGTTCTACACTGCAGTAAGCGTCTATGGGTTTTAAAAATGGAACATTCTAGTCTACTTTTACTCTGCTTGATAAATTCTAACTGCCCCACAGACTGATTTCTTGCACCAGACTTTAGGATACTGAAAGGCAAGTTTGGTAATCAATTAAGTCTTATTCCAGATCACCTTTTATCTTTTCACTAAATAGTCTTCTACTTGTTGTTATATATTGAATGCTAGTTGGTGATGACTGACTGCTGACTGTTTCCTTTTTGGTTGATGAACGTACCATCATGAAAAAATTAGAAGAAAAAAACTAAACAAAAAATGTTACCTAAAGTATATATATTCATAAGGTGTATAAAACTAAAAGACTTTGTCAAAAAAAATGATATTGGAAAATTTGACTGTGGTCACATTGCTACTTGTTGTGTGTGGAGGTTTTTGTGCAGCTGCTCCTCTGTCTTCAGTCACTGTGCTTTCACGAGCACAGAAGTAAACAGCAGAATCTTCTGCTGTCAGACTCTTGACCTGGAGGTACTGAGTGCTGCTGGACACATCTTCAGTCATGGGGAAACGGCTTTGAAAGGAGCTGCCATAGCTAGCAGAGTTTGAACCTGCATCCATCCTCCCAATCCACTCCAGAGCTTTCCCTGGCCTCTGTCGTATCCAGCTTATAAAGTAGTCTGTCATGTCAAACCCAGATATGACACATGACATCTTCACTGTGTCTCCTGGTCTTTTCACCTCAGATGGCGACTGGTCCAGTTTGATCTCACTCCAAACTCCTGTAAGAAAATAAATAATGAACATTTTCTTATACACTGTAAAACAGAAAAAATTTGCAGAATTGGTTTTCTCACCATGGATAGTGACTACAAATATTAAACTCCAGGCAACTGTATTTTCCATTCTGTCATACACACAGATCAGCGTTCCTTGACTGGTGTTTCAAAAATGAATAATTCTGTCCGTGTGTTCTGCAAGAAGTTGGTGTGTTTATAGGGAAGGAGGATTTTGCATAGCCCTCCCTCTGCAGGTTTAAAGACGTAACATGTCACACATGCATTTTCATAAATTGAGTATCTCCACAAGAGCAGAGCAACATGTAAAATATTACAGTCGCGGCCTATAATTTCTGGAAAAAGATCTTGATCGCTATCCATCAAACCTGTGATAATTACAGAATAAGCGGACATTAACCTACTTTCTTAACATGAAAAATAATTATAACAAATAAACTCAACAAAATGTTTTTTGGTTCAGTGCCCTCTGATTGGTGTCACAGAGATGTATAAAACTGTCTCAGCGTTCTGAAACAAATGATATGAAACTCTCTGGTGGTGATATTATAAGAAGGAAAAGTTTGTACAGATCTCCCTCTACAGGTTTAAAAAGGGAATGTATGTAATACCGATATATAGAAAAGATGTAGAAAATGATTTACGGACACAGTGTGATGAATCAAATCTCTCTGCAGATTGCAGTTACAATTATCAGTTTGATCTCACTCCAAAGTTTTGTAACCAAAAGAGATCATGATCACTATCCATCAAACTTGTGACATTTACAAAATTATATTCAGTTCAATTCTTCAGTGTTTGACTTTATTTTCTTACCCTGAAAAGTAATTATAACAAGTCCTGGCACATAATTTGTGGACTATTGGAGAATGGGAAAAAAATTAAGCCTTGCATTACAAACACACACACACAAACACACACACGAACACACACACACACACACACACACACACACACACACACACACACAAATAAATGAATAATAATGTGTTGCTCACTCAAACACTTCACTACTCTTCTGTTTAGAGCAAAACATTCCTCTACTGTTCACTACTTCAAAAACATTTGTATATTTATCCCGTCAGTAGACTTGTACTGACTTTATAAATTCAAATATTTGGAACATGTTTGTGCGTGGTTCAGCCACAGGAGTCTCTGGGTATTTGTGCAGGTCTGTTGGTTGTTTGTATCACTGTGGAGCCAACTATACGACTGTGCACGTACACAGTAATACACAGCTGTGTCGTCAGGCTCCAGATTCTGTCCTGTAAGTTTCACAGAACTTGTAGAAGTGAGTGTGTGGTGAAGGAACTTGTTCTTCAGAGCATCATTTTGATAAACACTGCCTCCACCCCAACGATGCAAAATCCAGTCCATTGGTTTTCCTTCACGCTGTCTGATCCAACCTGTTGCATAGCTGTTATCAGTCAGAGCATAACCAGAGACCTGACAGAGGATGGTCAAAGACTGTCCAGGCTGCACAACCACTGAGTCTGGCTGGATGAGATCAATACTGTACACACCTGTGGAAACAGAAATCAACATTATCTCCATCATTCATCTGACTATTCAGTGTTTCTAATGTGTTTATTAGTGTGAATCCACTGAAAGCTCCTCACAGGATCCAGCTGCCAGCAGCTGTATCAGAACCACAGAGAACATGGTGGATGTTGAAGCTGAAGTGATGTGAGCTCTTCTGTCCTCTCACTGACACACACACACATTTCACTTCCTTATGAGGAACCTTCATTTGCATATTGTTGAATAATGAATTTGCATCTCACAGAAAGCTGTTTAAATACAGGTGAAATGTTTAGCTGTTTTTTCTCTAGTTGCCGGATGGAAGTAATAGATTTGATTGTTGATAGAGAAACTTGTATTATTTGTTGTTATTATTACAAATTATATATATATTATTAATATCAATATCAATATTAATATTAATATTATTATGTGTTTTTCTTTAAGTAAGTTATATTCAAGTTGAAACATACATATTAATGTTGCAAAAATGTATATCTAGTGGACAATATTTTATATTTTATATATATATATATTCATATAATATTATATATATAATATAAATAATATAATATTATCATCCTGGCAGTTTTGTGAGGAAAGGATCATTACAGCCAGATATTGTTTTTTTTCGTGGTTGTTAAAGCCCAGAGAAGACAAACACTATAGGATTTTGTACAGCTGTTTAACCAACTCCAGTCACTGTGGCTCTCGAGCACAGTAATAAACCGCAGAATCTTCAGTCTTCAGGTTGTTCATCTGCAGATACACCTGGTCCACGTTGTTGTCTCTGGAAATCGTAAAGTGATTCTGGACAGATGTGGAATAATATTTATTGCTTCCACTCGGAGCAGAAATGTGTGCAACCCACTCCAGTCCTTTTCCTTCAGCTTGTCTGATCCAGCTGATATAAGCATTGTCATCTGATATTCCTGCATATGTGCAGCTCAGTTTGTGGGATTCTCCAGGCCGCTTCACCACTGGTGCAGACTCAGTCAGAGTCTGACTGCAAACACCTGAGGAGAAAAGCAGTTTGATCAGAACAGAGATAAACATCGACATTGCCTTCAAAAAAGAAAAGAGCAGAATGTGGAATTCACCAGAAAGTGCTGATAACAGCAGGAATGTTACAGATGTAGTCACAGTCATAATGGACATTTGTGGAATATCTGGTTGGTGGTTTGGTTTGTTTTCTGTTTGCTGGGAAATAAATACAGATGGAGGTGATCATGATTTGCATTGACTCCTCCTCACAGTGCAGGAAAAATATTTATCAGCTAAAGAGATATCAGCTTACATAAAATATTTTTGTTGATTATAATAAAATATTAATTTCATGTTTTTTCTGCTGAATAATTGCTCATCATGTGCTTTTTAATTGATGTTTCAGGGCTGTTTGGACAAGACACACAAAATAAATGGAACTGGGTGGATCCAGCATTTGGTGCCTGGTTCCAAACATACAGCTTGTTAAAAATAAAACACAATAAGACAATATAAGCAACTTAAAATCTATTGCTTGTATGGATTAATGTCATACAGCACAATTAGTGTATTGTGGGACATTTTTTTAGCCATTTTATGGTCAGACGTGAGGAACTAATTTGGTAATAGAGTAGTTTTAGGATTCCACCTATCTTCTGAATTTTCCATGGTAGCAGTGTGCAGCTTTTCTTCATGCACAATGAACAAAACAGGGCAAATATGTGTCAAGACAAACAAATAGTATAAGCATGTGAAAAGTTACAATAACCATTTTATCTAAATTGCACACATGTTGACAGGCTGCGGATACCATCACAGACACTTGCAGAATGGATGAAAATATTAAATGGAAATAAGTGTGTTAGTGATTTCCTCATGGCCATTATGTTCATGTGTGTTCAATGAAAGGCCATTACTTTGATCAGCGTTAAAAACACAGTCAGTCCTTGTCTGCCCTCTAGAGTTTTAAAATCGGCACTGCAGATATTTTTTGATTGCAAAATAATGTGTTACATAATGTAATGTAACTCACTCTGCTCTGTGATACACTCTTAAGCTGTTCAAGAGATTTCCCCTGCCTTTACTGGGATATACTTGAGCACTAGGTGGACTGTGGACTGATGAAGAGTTTGGAAAGCATGGTGCAGAATAAAGGATGGATGGGTGGGTGGTTTGTAGTGCTGTCACACAATGTGGATACTGTAGTCTGGTCTCCTTGAGTAGAAAAGAGACAGGATGACGTTGTCATGCAGTTAAAATTTATGGAAACAAGTACATTTTAATTTGTGTCACTGTAAACATGCAAAAAAAACAAAACATTGAATTACTTGTTACTTTGGTACATCTCTTTACCTATTGCAATGAAACACAATAACCCTGCAACTGATCCTGCTCGTTTAAAGCTGTTAATGATTGATGGAGATTTAGCTGGACACTTAAACTTCCACGTATTAAGGCCTCCAGTTCAAGAAGTGTCTGGGTTTCTGATTTTTTTTTCCAATATTGCAATTATTTCATAAGATGGCAGGACACAGGACTGCACAACTGTTTAAAAGCACAGTTTGGTCATTTGAGGTACACAAATTGTATCCTATTTTGCCACGTTGCACATGTACAGGGTTCTACACTGCAGTAAGCGTCTATGGGTTTTAAAAATGGAACATTCTAGTCTACTTTTACTCTGCTTGATAAATTCTAACTGCCCCACAGACTGATTTCTTGCACCAGACTTTAGGATACTGAAAGGCAAGTTTGGTAATCAATTAAGTCTTATTCCAGATCACCTTTTATCTTTTCACTAAATAGTCTTCTACTTGTTGTTATATATTGAATGCTAGTTGGTGATGACTGACTGCTGACTGTTTCCTTTTTGGTTGATGAATGTACCATCATGAAAAAATTAGAAGAAAAAAACTAAACAAAAAATGTTATATATATAAAGTATATATATTCATAAGGTGTATAAAACTAAAAGACTTTGTCAAAAAAAATGATATTGGAAAATTTGACTGTGGTCACATTGCTACTTGTTGTGTGTGGAGGTTTTTGTGCAGCTGCTCCTCTGTCTTCAGTCACTGTGCTTTCACGAGCACAGAAGTAAACAGCAGAATCTTCTGCTGTCAGACTCTTGACCTGGAGGTACTGAGTGCTGCTGGACACATCTTCAGTCATGGGGAAACGGCTTTGAAAGGAGCTGCCATAGCTAGCAGAGTTTGAACCTGCGTTCATTCTCCCAATCCACTCCAGAGCTTTCCCTGGCCTCTGTCGTATCCAGCTTATATAGTAGCTTGTCATGCTATAACCAGATATGACACATGACATCTTCACTGTGTCTCCTGGTCTTTTCACCTCAGATGGCGACTGGTCCAGTTTGATCTCACTCCAAACTCCTGTAAGAAAATAAATAATGAACATTTTCTTATACACTGTAAAACAAAACAATTGAGCAGAATTGGTTTTCTCACCATGGATAGTGACTACAAATATTAAACTCCAGGCAACTGTATTTTCCATTCTGTCATACACACTGTAGATCAGCGTTCCTTGACTGGTGTTTCAAAAATGTATAATCCTGTCCGTGTGTTCTGCAAGATGTTGGTGTGTTTATAGGGAAGGAAGATTTTGCATAGCCCTCCCTCTGCAGGTTTAAAGACGTAACAT